TATTAGCACATAGTTCGTCGTGTTCCAAAAATTATTGTGCTACTTTATTGCAATTGAAATAATCGTTGTATTTTACTATTTTAGAGATAATTGCTGCAAACCGAGAGTACTGCAACGAGTAAATTTGTAGTCTCTATAGTCTTAAAAAAAAATCATTTTTCTATTGGGTAAAAAAAATTGCTATAGAATTGATTGTTCACATGATCATTGTTAGATAAAATGAGGTGGTGCACAAGTGTTGTTGCATCATTTATGGCTCCTTAGCCGATTAACTCAACAACCATATTTATTTCATTTATGATCTTTCACCAACCCAACTACATGATTGAAATTAATGGTTCCTTTTGCTTTTATGGTATGAATTCGTAGTGATTTGTGTTTCTGTATGTTTCGACTTTGATATGATATCTGGCTGATATTAATTAAGAATAGATATATCGTCTGTAAATTAAATTAATATATTTAGAACCGACACGTTTTTATTAATTTAACGAAATATTAAATAATTGATGATTTAATAAGTTGTTAGTAGTAAGTAATAATTTATTAATTTACATGTATTAAATTAAATGTCTAGATAATGTTTTTTGTTAATTAGCCGTGTTAAAAAGATGGGGTCTTAGGATATAAGTTCCCGGTGACAAACCTTATTAGAACTAAATGACAAGCCTAATTAAAATTTGGTTCACATCCTTTATCAAAATTTATTCTAAAAATGCCCCTTCACTCACAAATTCGAAATTACATCAAATTGTAAATATTCTATGATGTACTATGGTATTATTTAATATTTTTAATTTGCATCTAGCATTTTTGTTATTTTATTTGTTACGTGGACTACGTATATCTTTTTGTTTTTTTTCATTACTATAAGAATCAATTTTTTTTCTACATAATATTGAAAATTATGATTTTTTTAATTTTTTTTCCGGTCGTAGTCATCTACAAACACCCGTAGTTTCGTTTTTATAATACATAAGATTTTAAAAAATACTATGGTATGCTATGACGTGAGAAGTGATGGAGAGGGAGAGCGAGAGAAAGAGAGACGAGAGAAAGACAGACGAGAGAGGGAGAACGTGAGAGATGGAGAGAAAGAAGAGAAAGAAAGACGTGAGAGGGAGAACGTGAGAGATGGAGAGAAAGAAGAGAAAGAAAGACGTGAGAGAGGGAGCCGAGAGAGGGAGAACGTGAGAGATGGAGAGAAAGAAGAGATGGAGAGAAAGAAGAGAAAGAGAGACGTCACAGAGGGAGAACGTGAGAGGCGGAAAACGAGAGAGGGAGAACGTGAGAGAAGATGGAAGAAAATAAGAAAAAATAAATCTGGGAGAAATGTGTAGAATTTATGGATTTAAGTTGATGACAAATTTGAGATAAAAAAAGGTAAATGATGTGGGTCATATTTATTTTTGTAAAAAGGATTTAGTTAAGAAAAAAACATTAGACTTGTATTCTATATCTAATTATGTTTCCAACTAGGGACCTCTGGCATATTAACCCTAGAAAGAATGAGAACAATATACATACTCCATCAAATATGTCCGGCTCGGGGAGCAGGAGCAAGAGATTTCGCATTTGGTATAAGAATGAGAACACAATAAGGGCGTAATCTTAAGGCACGAGAGATATAAATAAAACAAGATTGGAATAAATCGAATTAACTCTCTAGTTACTGTCTAAGTATTTAGTTAATAAGATATTCGGTTCATTGTATTAGATCTAGTATTAATATTGCTAAAATATGGTATTAAATATGATTTCAGCTTTATAGCAACACCAACCTAGCCATAATCATATCCTAATTTATACTATTTTATGGATACAATTATTTTTCCTATTTAGCAACTATTGATAAAATTAATCATAGGGGTACGACATCTACTAATTATATTTGATAAAATAGTATTTAATTGTGAGTTTTAAGTGATACAACATGCTTATGAAAACTCCTGCTGCATAAAAAACGACTTAATTGGTGGAATAAGAGAGTGTGATATCATTTAACACAAGTTCAATATATATATATATATATATATATATATATATATATATATATATATATATATATATATATATATATATATATATATATATATATATATATATATATATATATATATATATATATATATATATATATATATATATATATATATATATATATATATATATATATATATATATATATATATATATATATATATATATATATATATAAAACACCATCTGTGAAGTTTGTGCATGTGAACATAATAAATGAAGCAATTGGAAAGAGTTTTTGTTCTTCAAATGTGGTAGACATACGCTCTCATTTCACGCCCACAAATGTTAGGGTTTGCTTGTTAGGGATCACGAGAATGTACGAAAAATTAGAAAATATTCGATACGATTATTTCCAACTTCCAAGTTTATATTTCTCCATCCAAATTTTCGCAAATCCGCCAAACTGTAAGTCGAATTTTTGTGACTTCACATTGTTTAGGCTTTGGAAAACGAGTTTCTATATTTGTTTTTGAAATTGTAATCACTTTCAGTAAGAAAAATTGGTTTCGACCTTAGAATTTTAAATTTCTACTAATTAGACCTTAAATGTTTTTTCGTCATTCTTGGTAATTTTTATTTTTTGTAGTATATTACAGTTTTAATATGAATTTACAATCATATTAAGTTGATTTTTACAATAGATCATGAAATTATGAAAATTTGTAATTTCGTGAAAACATGATAGTAAATTTATGAAATTGGTAATTTTCATAAAATATGGTAATAAACTTACAAAAATTGACACGTACTTTAGCAATTAAATATTTCAATGAAATATGGTTGTAAACCTCATAAAATTGACAATGAACGTACGACAATTAACTAGCAATAGACGTCTACAATTTGTCTAAATATTGCGAGCGATTTTCGAAAAATATTGATGAAAATTTACACTGAACTTCCAAAAATTGACTAAAATTCGTAATAAACTTTTGATAACTCGTGAAGAGTACTTACAAGTTGCAGGCTGGAAAATGATAGTGAATTAACTTTTGAAATTTGGTTGTGGTTTTCACATTAGACTTTTCGTCAATTAAAAGACGCAGGTATTTTTGTAAAATGAACGAGCGAAGAACTTTTATCGAAGCCTGTGAATCCCTTATTATATACGAGTGATTGACTCACTTCCTTAACTTCTATATAGTCCACCAAATACTTAAAAGCAATGTTGTAAGAACCGGACAGGACCGTCCGGTCGGACCGGTTCGACCGCGACCCGGCGACAAGGCGGTCCGATTTGAGCGCCAAAACCGGAAAAATCAAAAAACCGGGGTCAAATGACCGAAACCCGGTTCAACCGGGCGAAACCCGGAAACCGGCGAACCGGTTGATGACCCCGGTTTTTGACAAAACAAAGTAAATGGTGGACGGATCTCGGCCGTAAAAGGCTGCTACGTGGGCGTATTTGCGCGGCGGTGGCTGAATCCGGTGGTCGGAGGCCGGACGTGGACGGATCTCGGCTGTAAAAACTGTTAGGTGGGCGGATCTGGGCGGCTGTGGGCTGAATTCGGTGGTCGGAGGCTGGAAATGGAGAAAGAAATGGGGAAAAATAGAAAGAAAAATAAAAGAAAAGGGGGAAGGAAGGAAAAAGGGTTTTTGGATTCAAGGAAAGAGAGAAGAGAGAGAGAGGCTGCCAACGTGAAAGAGAGAAAAAAGAAGTAGGAAGAGAGAGAAAATTGAGAGATAAAAGAAATGTGAATAAAAAAATAAAATAAAGTAAAATGAATTTTAAAATTAATAAAATAATTAAAAAAACCGGGTTTAACATTGATTAAATTAATGAAGTTTAACATTGATTGAAAAAATTCCACATTCCCAAAGTATATGGTATTAATATGAAAAAAAGTGGGAAAAGATATATATAAATATAGTATTTTTGAAGTTTAAAATTAATAAAATAATTAAAAAAATAAAAATAAAAAACTCGGGTCGAACTCGGTTGAATCGGTCCAATCGTGACCCGAATGCCTATCCGGTTTTGCATCCGGTCTGGTTCTGATAACATTGCTTAAAAGTTTAATATGATAATTTATTATATATGTCACATATAATAATTAATAACTTTGTTAAGTATTACTATTTGAGTACGTTTGAGTAGGTGAGCGTGAAGTCTAACGACTCAACTTGTTTTATTTATTAACTTATATATTTTTAATATAAATGTATACTAAGATATTTTAATAATAAAGTTAATTTCAAACAGAATTTATCATGGAATCATTTACACATACATAATAATAATAATAATAATAATAATAATAATAATAATAATAATAGTAAATAAACAAACCTATGGTTACTGATTTTGGAGAGACGATGGCCAATGGTTGAGGATGACCTTATCCCCTCAACAATGTAAAAAGGAACCCTCTTCTGACTTCTTCCAGCCCATTTTGTTCCCTCCTTAGATACTGCCAGAACTGAAATTGCTTCTACCAGATCACACTTTTCTATTGACCCCATTTTACCCCTTTGACAAGTTACCGTTAGAACTGAAATATTTCCAAGTACGTAAAAAAAAACTTATACGCATCTTCTCTGCATGCAGAATTTACATCTCACTCTCACTACCAGTTACGAAATTCCCAAATTGCGGGTTTTGAAGTGAAATTTCTCCTCTTCCGATGATTCTCGATTCATCGATTTGCTTTGTCGTGTACGATTTCGATGTGTATTTTATTCGCAGATTGGGAAATTCAAATATTTTCTGTGCGTCTGCTATTATTTCGAGGAATTTCAATGGCCGATTCCTTTGTTCTAGGGACGAAAATGGCGGAAGCAGTGCGAAATTGAGGGAAAGGAGCTTTTTTTTGGGGAACTTTGGTCCGTTAGGGGTAAATCCGTCATTTAGTTGAACTTGACCTGGCGCAATCAATTTTATGCCTTGGAAATGTCGTCAGCATTTTCCCCTTTTTGCTTCAATCAAATCATCACTAGAAGAGAGAGAGAGAGAGAGAGGAAGAGAGAGAGAGAGCGCGCGGCTGTGACTGTGGGAGGTATCCATTTGCTTGGCTAATCTGAGGCGAGTTCTTCTTTTGCTCTCTCTTTAGTAATTTAATCCAATAATAGTATTCGTTTTTTAATTTCCTGATTGTTTGATGGATTTCCGGCTGATTAAATTAGTCTTTGGTATTTGTGCATTGCATGAATTTTTGAGATGTGTTTATCTTTTTTTTTTTTTTTCTGAGTGCAATTTATGGTTTTTATTTGTGCATTATGATATAACTTGGTCGTGGGTATAATCGTTATTTAGCATTATTCACCACAAAGATCTGTTTTTAATCCTTGATTCGAAATCGAAACAAGCAAGAAAATGTATGACAGAGGGGATGCTGTTTTCGTATTTGTTTCTGAAGGATGATTTGAAGACAACGAGTTTATTAGTTTATGCACGAATAGTTTCGCTCAGTTGTAGTTTTATTTTTGTGATATTCATGTTTGTGTACTGAAATCCACCTGGTAAGCGCTTATTCGAAGATTACGAATTGAATGATAATAATATGATTTTAGATATTGGGAATTTCTGCAGCGTGTGCACGGTTTAACTTGGATGAGAGTGGAATTTGGAGCAAGTAGTCGAGCAATGGTGTCTCTCCCTAGTGCTTCTGTACAATCAAGGTACGACTGCACGAAGAAGACATTCTTTATCGATTTAATTATGCTGAACCTTTTTTTTAAAGTGTTGTTATATGCTGTATGTGCTATACTGTGTGCAAATTTCGGATAATTGCGTATGTTTTTTTCTGTCAGTTACATGAGATACCCTTTCGGTGGGGAGGCAAATGGGACTCATCTATCTAGAGGTTCTATATATTCCACTGCTTTTACGAGAAAGAGTGTAGAATGGAAGGAATCAAGAACCATCGGGCAACTGAAAACAGTGGCTTCGACCGTGATGCTTATAAAGGAATGCCGATCTTTGAGAACAAATTGCTCCTTAGGACAGTTTGCCCTAACTCACCCACACGATGTCAAGGTTGATAAGGAAGATGCTGGTTTTCTTAGGGTAAGGAAGCCGGTGGATGCAAAAAGATCCCTCCAAATGTGTAGTTTATTCAGGTAAATTTTCATTGTTTCCGATTTCTGCGGCACAATACGTATAATAACTTGCAGACTTATCTTTCAAATCAAGATTGCTTTGTAATTATCACTAGCACCTTGTCAATTATACCTTGTTCATTGTGTTGATCCGCTGTAATTTTGAAAAGAAACAATCATTTAAATGGTCCTTGGAAGCAATTCGATTCTCCTTTTTTTTTTTTTCCCTACTGTAAAAGGAATCCTAAAGTTCATTGCAACGCGTCAACCTCTGGAGATCTTTCTGGAAGTACCCCTGGTCAAATGAGCCAATACGAAAAAATAATAGAAACATTGACCACTCTGTTTCCAGTATGGGTATGTCTACACCATTTTATTGCTTGCAGGAATATTTCAAATCGGTAATAATTTTTGTTCACATTTGATATATTTTTTCTTTAATCCAATTGCAGGTCATTTTAGGCACTGTTATTGGCATTTACAAGCCTTCGATGGTAAGTCTTTTTAGTCCCACTTGCTAAAAATTGAATAGTAATTAACTGGTTGCGTTTTCAATCCGTTGCAGGTAACTTGGTTACAGACAGACCTATTTACCGTTGGTTTGGGTTTCCTCATGCTCTCGATGGGATTGACACTCACATTTGAGGATTTCAGACGATGCTTACGTAATCCATGGACTGTAAGTAGTAACTTATCTGTAAACCTCGGTTACAGTTTTGTCGCAAGTAGATAAGGTCTTACTTCTTTTTTCCATTTTCGAGGAAGTAATTTCTTTTTTTTCCAGGTTGGTGTAGGATTTTTGGCTCAATACCTCATCAAACCGATGTTGGGCTTTTTCCTTGCAATGGTATGTCGGGTTTTATTGTACCTCTCCAGTTGTGACACAATATGTGATATCTGTTTGGTTGTACCTCATGCTTTCCTATGTTGTACAGACACTGAAATTGTCTGCTCCTCTGGCAACTGGACTTATCTTGGTTTCGTGCTGTCCTGGAGGTCAGGCATCGAATGTTGCTACTTATATATCGAAGGGCAACGTTGCACTCTCAGTTCTCATGACAACGTAAGCTTATATTTATGAACTAGTGCATGTTGCAAGGTCTACGTGTGATCTAATGTTTTGTCGTTACGAGTTTATAAGTTTCTTGAATCTCAACACAATGTTGTCTTTTATTAGACAAAAAAGAAGATTATGTCGTTCAAATTGTTAGGTATAATGGCCGTTTGAATGTGTTTACTGAACAGTTTCCACTTTCTTTATGGCTAAAGTTTAAACAGAATCAAAGGAAAGATAAAGTCGTTTCTGTTATAATTTTGTTAGGATTATATTGTTCATGATAATGTAAGATGTGATTATTTTATGTTTGGGATTTGTGATTATACAATCCTTGTTGTGTAATATTTGGGAATAAGGATTATGTTGGATTGTTTATAACACGTTCAAAATACCCCTAGTTCTTACACTAGTTATTAGCATTATCTTTAAACTTTAAGGCCCACATGGCAATTCAATTTGATAGATAATTGAACCCCGATTTTTTTTGGTGTTGTAGTTGTTCAACCATTGGAGCTATTATCATGACTCCACTCCTGACTAAGCTTCTTGCCGGTCAACTTGTTCCGGTCGATGCTGCGGTAAGTTTGGCCAATGTACATCGTAATTTAGTCCTGCGAGTCTTGTTCAGTTTTTACTGTAATAAAAAAGACATTCATATAACTCACTTGGACTTGCGATTTTCTGCCCTCGTTGCTTAACTTTTTGTGTTATTTTTGTCATTACACAGGGCCTAGCTATTAGCACATTTCAGGTTGTCTTATTGCCAACAATTCTCGGGGGTAAGCTGCAAAATATTGAACTTACAAGAATATCTGTCAGTTCACACACACAAAAAATAAAAAATAAAAAATATTATACTATTGATTTCTATATTGATCCTAATGTGTTGATGAATGGTATCGTTTTCTTTGCTCTGCAGTTTTGGCAAATGAGTATTTTCCGAAGTTCACCTCGAAAATTATTACTGTTACACCTTTAATTGGAGTCATCCTGACCACTCTGCTATGTGCAAGTCCGGTAAGTCAACAATTTACGAAACAATCAAAGAATTCATATTACAGTATAGACACAATATCTCAGTGGTCCCCATTCTTTTTTCTTTCTTTCTTTTTTTGGTTTAAATTTGTTTTTATTTTCTAAATAAAGATACTATGGTTTTATTTCTTCAGATTGGGCAAGTTGCAGATGTCCTGAAAACTCAGGGATTACAGTTGTTATTGCCAGTGGCTATCTTACACGCCGCAGCATTCTTTATCGGTTATTTGATATCAAAAACATCGTTTGGTGAATCGACTTCAAGGACCATTTCTATAGAATGTGGAATGCAGGTATAATATATATATATATATATATATATATATATATATATATATATATATATATATATATATATATACATACATATTAGTTTGCAAGATTGTGATATTTTCATTTCGATATATGTACGCCCTTTGTGAAAATGATCTTAGAAAATAATTTGCCTGGAAATAAGATGTATTCCGAACTTGTTTACACGCATTTAGATTTAATAATCTAGTTCCAATAGGGACTCGGAAATCAGAAGCTTATCTACATATGTTTGATTTACAGAGTTCTGCACTTGGATTTTTACTAGCACAGAAGCACTTCACAAATCCTCTTGTGGCAGTACCTTCTGCCGTGAGCGTCGTCTGCATGGCGGTAGGTTCTTTAGCTAACTGCATTCGAGTCTTTTTAAAAAAATAAGTCTTTTTATTTATTTAATTTAATTTACAAATTGATTTTTGTTTTATTTATATTTTATAATATTTGTGCAGCTGGGAGGAAGTGCTCTAGCAGTGTACTGGAGAAACCAGCCAATTCCAGCTGATGACAAGGATGATTTCAAGGAATAGAAAAATTGAGTTGTTTTTCGGGGTTTTTTTTTTTTTTTTTTTGAATATTTGTGTTTTGAATTTTGATATAACACTCCTTAAACCTTTTTTGGGCTATGTATTATTATTCATTCGGAACGATTAATGGTTGCTTTATAAGTTACATTAGCTAATTCTTAGACAATTGTTTTTTTACTTATGGTGAAGGCTATTTGGATTCCATAAAAAAAATTCATTACACCTCACCGTTTTAATTATTTACAATTATACCCTTCAACTACACACTCCATCACGTCAAAAAAAGACCTAAAGTTCAACAATTTTGAGAAGAAAAAATGACTGAAGAAAAGAAAAAAAAAACTCGATGGTAAGAGAAAGATCTAACCAATTTTTTGGCCGCCGCTCGCCCGCCCGTCGTTTGCCCCTGCCATCGAAGACGACCATTTCACGAAGGAGAAAACGCAAAGCAAACGAACCAGAATTTTTTAGTGGAATCTTCTAAATTAGTGGAATATTCCCCAGTTTGTACCCATTTTACTCCATTCAACCTCCATATTTTGAATAAGATGATCAGGAGATGAGTCTTCTAGCTTGTACATATCAGATTGTGGTGCATCAGAAACTGTCTTTTCGCACAAAACAAGTACAAACTAGAGAAAATTCCTCTAAATCTAGAAGATTCTGTTGCATTTGACACCATAAAGATAGTAATGTAATAAGATTCATAGTTGAAAGTAGTTGTAATTATCCAAACATAATATTATTTTTTCGTAATTTAATATATGAGCGCCGTAATTTACCCAATAAATAAATCATAATATTAAATTGGATGAAATTGGACCAAAAAAATCTGGACTCAGCGAGGCCCAGCAACCAGAGTACCAGAACCTTCCGAATAATCCTCTCTCTCTCTCTCTCTCTCTCTCTCTCTCTCTCTCTCTCTACATTTGATCGTACTTTTAGTTCTCGTTCATTCCTCTACGCTCTGGTGGTTTATTGTCGATTTCTTCGTCGTCGTTATCAGGTAATAATTCTATTTTCCTCGATCAATTCGAACAATTTAATTCTTACTTATCCGAATTACGATGATATTTGTCTTTATATATTATATATTATCGAAAGTGATATAATTTCTGAGAGATGTTGCTGTTTAAAACCGTAATCGTTCGTGTTAGTGCTTGATAATCAATTTGTTTATGATTTTTAGGGTTTTATTTATTTATTTAATTTTACGGTGTTCCTCGGTGTTTTTGGAGGTGTTGATTGAACATTTGGAAACTCATAATATTGTCCACGATTTAGGGGTATTGTAGGAATTCATGCGTTTGGAAATATTAATTTTGTAGTCGATACTTTGCAATGTACTAAATAAAGCCAATGGTAATGTTTGAAATGAATTGTCACTTTCTTATTGCCAGAGAGGATTCCGAGGTTTCCGTTTTATCATCTTATGTTTGCTGAAAAGTATTAGTGAAAGGAAGCTCGTAGTCTTTTATCGGTAGGGCTACAAGGAATAGGTATCGATTGTTTTCGGCCAAGCTCGATTTTTCTAATCCTTTGTTCCGTGTGGTGTACTTTTGTTTTAGGAGCCTCTTTTTTCCCAAGTTTGACATGATTATTTGCAATGTGCTAACATTTATCCGCTATTTGCACGTATGTTTCCAGGGTAGAAGCAAACAAGAAATGCAGGGAGGTAGAAACCCGTTTGGTGGTTTTGGCGACCCTTTTGGTGGTTTTGGCGACCCTTTTGGTGGATTTGGTGCACCTTTTGGCGGTTTTGGTGCCCCTTCTGGCGGTTTTGGTGCCCCTTCTAGTGGTTTTGGAGGTCGAAGGAGTCTAATCCCTAACTTTTTCGGGGGCAGGAATCCATTTGATGATCCCTTTTTCACGAGCCCCTTTGGAAATGTGTTTGAGTCGAGCTTTTTCGGCCCTACTGGAGTTCCATTTATGGGTCCACATACGCCTGGTTTTAATCCGCATACCACTGGTTTTAATCCTCATACTACTGGTTTCGAGCATCAGCCTCCACAACCCAATCAGTCGAGGGGACCAATAATCGAGGAGCTGAACTCTGATGATGAGAAAGACGAAGAGGAAAGTGGGAAGGAGAAAAAAGAGAATCCAAGAAAACATGGAAGACCCACCAAAGAGCCTTATGTGGTTGACCCAGACGATGAGGCTACTGGTAAGTATTTTTTTTGGTTTTTTTTTTTTTTTTAAATTTCTATTTATTTTGTTGATTGGGCTAAACTTATTCCATTTTGTTCTTGTAGAGAAAAGGAGTAGACATATGACTCGCAGGAATGATATGAACCAGATGCATTATGCGAGGTCGCAGCCCCAAACGCGTAGCTTCACCTTTCAAAGCTCGTCTGTATCTTATGGTGGTGCAAATGGTGCGTACTATACTTCTTCTAGTACAAGAAGAACAGGCAGCGATGGGGTAAGTACACAAATTCTTGCTTGAATAAATTGCTTTCCTATCTTTCTTTTGGCGTCTGTTTTATCCTCGTTCATCTTTTTCTTGTTCACTTGTGTAATCTAGTTGACATTTGAAGAATCCAAAGAAGCCGATTCGTCCACTCGTCAAGCTACTCATAGGGTCTCGAGGGGTATACACGACAAGGTATTGTTTCTACATTCTTTCTTTCTCATGCATATGTGCGACATCGATTCTTGATTTCGGCACTTCGAAATGTCTGACAGAGTTTGTATTCACGTTTCAGGGTCATTCTTTCACTCGGAAATTGAATTCAGATGGTCATGTGGACATGATGCAGACTCTGCACAATCTTAATGAAGGTAGCCTGATACTTACGTGTTTATATTACCAGTCTTTTTTTGACGAACTTGTATGGTTTGTTGTTTATTAATATATCTTCTTTCTTAGATGAATTGGGTGGTTTTGAGGAAGCGTGGAAAGGGAATGCTAGAAAGCATCTCCCGGGATGGAATGGAGAATTTGCTAGTCAAGATGTTTTAGGTATGCTATTCTTTCCAATTGCTCGTTTTTTTTTTTTTTTTTTTTTTTTTTTTAAATTCGATATCTGGGAATTATTGAACTTCATAATCATTAAATTGACAGAGAAGCTAATTTCCTGCATTTGAGATGCCTTTTTTTTTAATAAATATTTATCGAGCTTTAAAAGTTGTGTTTGAGCTTGGTTTGATACTCGAGCAGGAATGAACTTTAATCAACGAAACATAAATAGAGCTCGAGTAGCTTGATTTGTAGTACTTATTTTATTTTTCTAATCAAGCTCAAGCTCCATAGTTTATCAAGCATAATAAGTATGTTGATTGAATTTCAGTCCTTTATGTCGGTTTCTGTTATCATTGTTGTTGTTTTTTTTTTTAATTATTTGTTAGAGTGATAGAATCTGTACGGAATTTTCAGGGCATAGAAGCGCCGGTCAGCGGCCTAATAATACAAGGCACCTGGCACTTCCTTCTACTGAAAGATCAACACGTGTTAGAACAAATGGACCTGGTTCGACTAGTCAAGCTAATAGGCGCTAATAATTTGGAGAGAAATCTCTTCGTCTTGAGATCTTTACGTACGTGTTAAATTACGAAATCGAATCTTGAAATAGGACAAGTCTGAGTTGGCATATTATGCAGTATCATCTAATATTTTACCGTTTGGACACTTTTGTGGTATGAGGCAATTAGTATCATGTATATTTTTATTGATTTCATCTTTTGATCTTTTGGGTTTTCTGTGTTTGCCACATTTTATTGGTTTAGAAAGAAGCTTATGAAATTAAGAAATGTCTGCTTGCGATTTCATCGCTTTCGTTTTATCGTCATCACCAATTGGCTGCGGCTACTGAAATACTCGTTCCACTAAGTTGAAGACCAACTAAATGTTGCTAGACTAGACACGACAAGATCCATAACAATCGGGGCAAAATCTGCCGCCAAAGCGCTGGCGGCAATGGTACCGAGCAATCCTTCATAGTTATCGGAGCAAACTGTCCAACACTGACCCCCAAGCAAAAACGTCAGCAATTATTGTTTTCTAAATCTCAAAAAATTGTGCGAAGTCGAAAGGATTTTTTGTAATAATCGATCTTTTTCGAAGTTTTTTGGTCAAAATGTCATTAACAAGTGTCTTTGAGCACATAGTTGTGTCAGTATGTAGAAGAATCGACATTTTAAAGATACAGTGGATGATTTCTTTTTAAAACTATCGAACCTAGAAAATCGACCTGCAAATGTCGATTTTTTGTATGGTTGGTTCATTTTGTGGGTAAATTTTCGACATGTCGATTTTTCTGTAAAAAAAATTGACATGTTGGTGTCGAATTTTGCTAATTTTCTAGACATTAGCATGTCGATACTTGACTATTTTCTTTTTCCTTTTTCTTTTGGCAATATAATCGACATGTAGGTGTTGATTTTTGTCCCAAAAATCGACGTGCAAATGTCGATTCTCGTCTGCGCGGAATTTGTTTTAAAAAACCAACAAAAAAGTTCCTCTAGCTCAAAAACACACCTTAACACATACTCCCACGGGTTATTCTACAGTAGAATCTTTCATTTTTCATTTTGATGTTTTTTAACTTCATATTTGTTCTATTTATAAGATTTGTTAAGATTTGAGGGTTTTGAATGTCAATTTCGTTTGGGGCCTCCGAAATCCGATGATCGACTTTGCTCGTATTTTAAGGAGCATATATTATGATCGTGAGATTTTGAGAGATTTGATTCCGATTGCATCAAACATTGATCGAATGAAAATCATAAATGATTCAAATATATATATACACATATATATATATCTACAAACAAAAAGATAAATATTTAAAAAGAAAAAGGGAAACAAAAAATAAATAACAAAAATTAATTATACTGCTAGAAATTAGATTTCATCAAATTGTAATTCCTTATCTCCTGATGACAAACTCTTCACCAGTCTGCCGATTAATATGCTTGAACCACCGGCTCTGTCCTTTTCCGGCGGCGGAGCCACTACCACCACCAGCGGCGCCAACATGAGCAATATCCAACCCATTCCCCACCGGCAAAAACACCGACCGTACGATCCTCGACTTCCCGTCGAGCACACTCCGCCACCGGAAATCGGAGGCCGCCCTCGAGCTAGCATTCTTGCAAATCAAAACAGCCCCCCTGTGCCCTAATTTCGCCACCCTCAATATCCTCGCGAAATCATTCCGCCGGCAATCCACCACCAGGAAATCGATCTCCTCCACCCCCTTTATAGCTTCCTCCGGCGGCCCCACCACCACCTCCGGCGGCGATTGGCCGGATTTATCCATGGCCTCAACGTACTCCGACCTGGAATCCTCATCGGGAACCACGCAAATATGCCTGCCACCTGTATGATGAATTGCCACAGAGAGGCCGATGCTTGCGGCGATGGCGCCGCCGCGCGACCATGTCTCCACCACTAATTGAGCGTTCCATCCGGCGGCCATGGCCGAAACAAGCTCCGCTACACTCGATTCATCGAAAACTTCACACTGTCATAAAATCAAGAAACATCAAAATTTGAAATTTCATCAGCAAGAAACTATATATATATATATGGAAAAATTACTTTCAGGGTTTATATTATATATAATCATAATTCATATATACATACATATATACTTACAGATTTGACAGTATCGATATATGCTTTAGAGGCAGTTTCAGGAGACCAAACAAGCTTCATTTTTTTTTTTCTTGTTTCTATTTTTTGGGTGTTGTGTTTATCTTTTTGATTTATAATATCAGAGGTGGAAATAAAAGTGGTTTATGATGCAAGAAAAGGGCGTGTCAAAATTTGCCTTTTAAATAACAAAAGGCAACTTGGATTGGATTTTAGAGAGAGAAAGAAGGAAATTGTCAATGTCAAACCCGTTGACTATTCACTCCCACCTTTATCCAACGTGGGTGTAATTTTATGTTATAGACTTATAGCATATCCGGTGAATTTCATCCCGGTAAAATGTTATCGTAAATTTACACATAATGACATGTATCAGACGTGTAAAATAGATCTATTATAGAAACCACGATAGATTAATAACCTCGTGTAAATAAAAAAAATTATCGGTCGATATCTTAAATTAATAATTTGCTAAATTTATGTGGTAATACTTATTTGGAAATTTTAAGAAGCCATATATGATATATAAATTAATAATGCATAAATTTAATTTCTAAATTATATAGTACAATACATATTTTATAGATCTATGTATGAATGCTTAAAGAAATATGATTTGACTGTCGCATTCACCAGCAATTTTTTCCCTTACTTTTCTTAATATGGTTAGAACTTCTGGTATTTCGCATAACGTATCAGAATTGTTGCTTTAAGAGCTTCCGTTCGAGAAACGGACTCTAATGATATATACGTACAAAAAATAAAAATAAAATGCATTTGTTAAAAATTATAATAAAAATAATTTTATAAATTGATAAAAATGAAGAAATATTAATTTATCCATAAATTAATATTTCTATTAAATTAATAGAATCTTAATGGTCTCAATCATATTAATTTATAGAGATTTAATTTTAGAGTTGATATTAGTTATTTTCGGATGCAACTGACGTCTAGTAGATTAATATTTAATTTGATCATTTGAATCGTGTACGGTGTACTTGGACATTGAAATACAAATGAATTAATATTTTTTTTTCTCAAGTGTATATGTAAATAGTGAATACTGAATACTAAACAAATTGTACACGAAAAGGATAAATAATTAAATATTGAGATAATTAAAAATTGAAAATGGACGTATATCAAGTAATTGACTATTAGCCTTACTAAATTACATCAATTTGCAGCCCACAGTTTTTTGATTACATCTCTAAATTGGGGTTTTTGGCACTTTGCACCCTTGAATTACACTCTTTTGGCACTTTGCACCCTTAAATTGCAAAATTGGCAGATTGCACCCTTTAAACACAAATTGTTTGGCACTTTGCACCCCAAACCATTTTTGGCTTAGAAAAATTACCTGCAACTTGTTGAAAACCTGAAGGATGGGCAAATTCGCAATTCTCTAATTATCTATCCTCTTCCCCCAATTCTTAATCATCGTTCCACCATTTTTATATTTTGTCCTATTAATCAAAAAATCCTAAATTCTTCTTACCCATTTCTATTTGCCATAATATGCAAATTATAAACTAAAACTCAAGAATGGTCGGAATATATAGACAAGAGTCCGATAGCACACCTTCAAAAAATCAAGTTTTATTCCATGGTAACGCTATTTTTTTGTAATAATTTTGTAGATCCAAAGTATTCAATGGGAGCCCAAAAATCTTTCCATCATGAAATTAATAGGCACCACCTTTCTACCATCAAATAAACTTCTCGGTAGCCTTATTTTGTTATTTGACTATTCAAAAAAAAATTTGAGGGCTCGGCCTAAAATTTCCAGTTACATTATTTTTCATACTCAAAAGAAAAAAAAAAGTGATTTACTATTATTGTTTAGTGTTTATTCCGATTTTACCATTGAAAGAAATGGCTAAAAAGATTTTAGGATTTTTTGATTGGAGGGGCGAAAGATAAAAATGGTGGAACGGTGATTAAGAATTTAGGGAAGAGGATAGATAATAAGAAAATTATGAATTTGCCCATCTTCCAGGTTTCCAGCAAGTTGCAGGTAAGTTTTCTAAGCCAAAAGTGATTTGGGGTGCAAAGTGCCAAACAATTTATGTTTAAAGGGTGCAATCTGCCAATTTTGCAATTTAAGGGTGCAAAGTGCCAAAAGCGTGTAATTTAAGGGTGCAAAGTGCCAAAAACCCCTAAAATTGTGGAAATGGTCCAATAAATTAGCACAATTAAATAATGCAAAATTTACTATAAACATTAGGGCAAATTATGATGACCCTGAGTTAAGGTAAAATTATTAAACCACGCCTTCTGTTTGGTAATTACGGTCATTCCCTTCAACTATATATTCTCTTACAAAAAGACCCTTCTAGGGGTAAATTTAGGGATGCTAAATATGTAAAACCGAACCGAAATTTCGGTACGCGAACATTTCATATTGTTTCACCGAATTAAATATACGATTTGTTTCGGTAAATAACCGAATTATATAATTTTATTTTAAAATATTTAAAAGAAAGTGTGGCTGTAATTACCCAAGCAAAATGGATTTTTTTCGTAATTTGGTCATACCTAAGAGATGGCCGTAATTTGCCCTAAAAATTATAATTGCATGAAGAGAAAAATCTGAATTTTTCTTCTACTATTTTTTTATTTTATCTTTATTAATAGTTAATAGCAACAAATTTGGAATCGGACGTACAATAATTATAATTTTTTTCAAGTGACATGTTGTGATCGTAAATTTTTTTAGAGAATATATATTATAGTTGCAATAAACATGACAAATAACCGGCCGCGAGATGTATATTCAAAAGTT